GAGTTTAATAAGACATTGTCAGCACACATGTCACGTTACCAATACACTCACAAAAAAAAATGGATGGGCGTAACCTTATCTCGATGAATAACAGATACATTAAAACGTTCACACTGAAAGGTATTATCGAATTTCATCCATGTGACATCTTTAAAAATTTACACAATGCGTGTTTTATTATTAAGTATTTTATTGTTCGTAAAATGTATTGTTTTATCGCGATTGTCATTGTGTATAGCTAATGTCATAAAGTACCTTGTTGTCATTTCTATAATGTGCACTGTTTTATGTAACTCATTGTCTTTGGTCGTCATCGAATCATATTTTAATGTCCTAACATCATCATAGTCTTTAATGTGTTGATCGGCTGACGTAGTACTCTATAAAACAACAGATTTAACAGCACTTCCTTCCTTACTTTGGGATCAGAGTAACGTATGTAATGTTGTCTAATATAGTTACATTAATAGTTAAATATATATATTATACCCTTACTAACTTTAAATGTCTATAGTACTTAAAAGTAAAGTCACTGTAGCAACCAGAACAAAACACAGCATTAGCATTTGCAATAGAAAATTTGGAATAAAATTTGATTTTATTTGACTAAGTAAATCAATAAAACGACTGATATTTTCAGTATCAGTAAGGTTCCACTATCCACTAATTCCCAATTCACATACCTTGTATTAACTACTTTGAAACCTAGCACACTTGGTATGTTTTGAATTGATTATAAGTTACTTAAAAAATTTTTGGCTAGTCACGAACCAGACTAAGTGCGCCTTACTAAGTTTCAATGTATCGAAATTTCTGATAAATTGTAGACTTTTGAAGCGGCTGTCACCGCCATTAGATAAGAACTTACTATGGGAGTATAATCCCTTTAAAAAAATTATACCTTTCTAGGTTTTTCTTTGGAGCAGTCTATATCCAACCCGTGAACGAAAACTCCGTAATTCTACTCAAAATAACATAATTATTTATTTGAAGTCACTTTAGAATCATCGGTAAAACCGTATTATTTTATTTCCTTTAAAGCTTTAGGGGCTTCATGCATTTTTAATATACCCTCTTGTTATTTGGATATTTACTTTGTCGTTTTCTTATAGCTTTTAATTTCCACTTCGAATACGGTAAACATAATTAGACTGTTAATTAACTTCATGGTAAATAATACGAGCTGTTATAATTTCTACTAATTTCCTCGTCCTTTACTAACAGTGTTACATATAATACAGGGTGTAATCGTTAAGTATGCCCAGGCGATAATTCCGTAAATGTTTTTGATATCTCTTATATCAAAAACCTCCGAAATGATATCGGAAGTACATTACCTAATGGTAAACGACATCAATAACTTTTTAAAACATGAAACTAGAAATATCCAAAATTTTAACGTTAAACAATCCCTTTAATATGACATTCGCAAAGTTTTTAGTTGACCTATTTTAAGAGGTAACAAAAAGTTATAGACAACAAAACTGCTATAAATAAAGCAAGAAACCTATATTTTAATTGAATAAAAACTTATTGAATGATTTTTCAGTAAGTACAAAATGTTGTATTCAAAGCCATTGTTCGAAACAAAGGCTCTCCATGTCTTATTAAATGCATAAGAGCGTTTATCGTTAAAATTTTAAAAAAGTTATTGACGTCCATTTACTCATTAGGCAATGTAATTTCGATACCAGTCAAAAATTAATACTTAACGATTACACCCTGTATGTACGACTTTTGAGCACAGTATTCTCTAAGGAAGAGTTCTGGCCACAGTCCTCCATGTTTGGTCCAAAGTAAATTTCACATATTTTCGAATTTTCAAATGTTGTATTTTTCCCCAGTTCCGACTTTCTCAACTGCGTACTTAAGCTCAAATAGATCTAAATGAGTGCCTAATTGTTCATTGCCAACTTCAAATTTCTGCTCGGTTAAATCTCAGTCAGTTAAATGAAAGTTTAAATTTTAACCGTTCTATTTGAATTCGCGTAGTCACATTCTGAGTTAACTGAAAATTTTCAGGATTAATTGAGAAATGTTGGATGAGTAAACGTTGAACTCTACTTTTTATTTAAACTGCGATGTAGTCAGCGGTTTCTGTTTTTGTTTAAGTCCCCGAATGAATGTCAGTTTCGGAACAATCTCGCTGTTGGTTTCGCAAAGAAAGGAAATTGCTTTTCGTATTATTATGCGGTATGAGGTATGTACATATATATACATGCATGGATGGTAATCGCGTTTTGGGTTGTACATTGAATACAAAAAAGCAACCTTGACCTCTTTTAGAAGTCTTGGGCCAAGAAGGAGGACTACCGCGTGACTTCCACCTTATTCTTCTCATTGAAGGTTATCTGTGTCCAGCAAATGATGAATTTACTGTGTTTTCATGTATTTTTGTAATTTATGTGTGATGACCTCCGTTGTCGAGTGGCTTGCACACCAGTTTTCATGGTGTCGCTGTCTCTGAGGTTCCGGGTTCGATCCCGAGCCGTGTCAGTGTCGAAAAACTAACTATCCTAATCGTCTCGGTTCTGAGTGTTTGTGGTACCGTCGTTGTTTCCGATTTTCACAACACAAGTGCTTTAGTTAGAAGTTTATTTGCCAGAATGCAGTAAATATACAGATCTTAAATTAATTTAGGTACAGTTGAATACTCAACCTGCAAGCGGGTGTGCAAATGTAATGGAATTAATGTCTTGTGTACGGTTAATTCTATTCGAAATATTATTTATTACTATAGAAGCAATGTGTCAAAAGCCTTCTTGTCAATTGTAGTTTAAAAGTACGTCCTTGTAGTAATTTAATATCATTTGGTAAATTATTAAAAATCTTGATGCACATGTTGAAGCAGTTCTTCGTATAAATTATTTTATGGCACCGAGGTTGGTATAATTGATTCATAATTTTACCTCTAGTTTGTGATTGAATGATGTCGCCATGTATTTTGAAATGTTGAGAGTGATTCTTGACAAACTCAGATGTCTCTAACATACATGCTGGCGAGAGGAAGCATATTGAGATTTTTGAACAAGTGTTTACATGTGTCATCTGGTTTAGCGCCGCAAATTGCGCGAATGCATTTCTTTTGTACTACAAACGCCCGCCGCGCCGTTACTTGCTTTGGCATCGGAGTAACGTGTTGTTTATATTTATTTATTTAGTTGCATGCGGGGCCTGATAACAAATATAATTTAAACAGGAGAAGTTAAGAGTTAATACGAGGTAGTATAGCTCGAATTAATTTTTTTTTCCGTGCTAATACGGTTCATTATGATTGTGTCGAGAGGCAGGGGCATTTGAAAAATGTGTATATCGTATTGTACTTATACGTGTTCTATTTAGTATAGTTGATGTAAAAAAATCATTGGTATATTAAGTACCTATTGAATACAGCGGTTTACTTGTAAAATTTTGAGGTAAGTTTGTGTTTTGTTCTATAGTGAAAATTTTTAAGAATTGTGTTTTCACACTGTATAGTAATCGATATCCTCAATTTTACTATTTTTTTTTTTAACATTTTTACTGTTATGCAGAATGAAGCAAAGCCATTTGAAGTTCTATAGACTCTTAAGTATTTATAGTAGCGGAGTGTTAGGTTGTATTTTATGAATGTTGATTAATTTTTATTTATATAACGGCGGGCTTAGTGACGCGCCTAGGAGGACGCCTGTGTCCACGAACAGACATTTATAATTCTATTATTATAGCCGGAAGGTACAAAATTGTTTTCACATGCTGACTAATATTTACGCAATGCGTCTAATAAAGCACTGATTGCCTATACCGTCGTGGATAACTCGTAAAGGTTTTCCGATAATTGTATTTGTAGCCTCTTCGATTCTACCAAAGTTTATTTCCAGTAAAAAGGTTGTACACGATAACATGATTTTTTCCAATAGGAAAAAGTTAATGGATATAGTAGAAAGCCACAAAAAGAAAATCTAAAAGGGAAGCTTCTGATAAACCTGAAAAGTTTTTCAGCAGCTGAAAACGTTACCTAAAACGTATCGGATTATAACATTTTTATGTAGGATCATTAGTTGACCAATTTCGACTTCAAATGTGAGAATTCACGCGGTAATGCAAAAGATTTAGACGATTTTATATGATATGTGGATCCTTAATGGATCTACCAATTACATTTTTATTAGAATACAACCAAAAATACATCTTTGACGTTTGTTGAAACTCGCCTCGTTCATTTGTTTTTCAGGCGCCATTGTAATTAGGAATAATGCAATAAAATGTTAATCGTGTTTTTTTTCAACAAAGGATACATTTTATGACAAACTTCAAACGTATTTCCAAGTCAACAACCAATAATTTAAAAAATAATAATAACGAGAAAAGCCTATATCATTTCTATGCAACAACTCTTCAAAGTCCAAATTTCTCCTTAACAGGATCCGGTCAGGACTGGTACACATATACTTAGTAAAATGACAATAGTTTGAAAATAACCTATTAATTGCCGTCGCCTAATTATCTACCCGATTCATTTAGTTCCAAGACACTTTTATAGCGCTCCTACAAAACAATCTCAACGCCAGAAAAGCGGCAGTGTTTCAGAAGCACTAGTCATATTTAGCACTAAATATTTCTTGTTTTTTTATCTCAACCATTACAGAAAATTAACTGTGAAATACGTGAAAATTGAACAACTGAGAGAACTACGCAATTCTTATTATTGTTTTGTCTTGTCATTTAACAGTAAAATGTAATCTATAAGTAACACGTCTCTAAATTTGAGGCTAATGTTGAAAAAACAAATGATCATATCTACTCAAGCCTTTTTATGAGCACGTCTATAATCCTTTAAATCCGTTCCCACTAAAAACAGAGATCATTAACAGATGAATTAAAAAAAGAAGCTATATTACTCCCACGGCGAAACCCGTATCGGCGGAAATCGGCTATTGCGTCCAGACTGGTTTCCACATAATTTAAACCATCCGGTGCAAAACAGGTTTGCGATTCATTCATAAAAATTGAACACTCACTTGTTTAACACTGAAAAACATCACTGTAATCCAAATACACTTCGAAAATGTTTGTTGAAAACAAAATCGAACGCAGGAATCGAAAAAGGATAGACGATTACGCACTATATTTGTCCTGTTCTGCAGCGCCGAGCGCCACAGGTGTGAATTTTCGCGGAGGAGCGCACGCGTCCGAACCGTACGGGCGCTGGAAGCGGTCTGCCTGGAAACGGGAGAGGCTGCGCGGCGCGGCGGGAGGGGGGCTAAGGGAGGGGGCACGCTGATCAGTAAAATCGCCCGGGAAGCCAGAGGCTGCGTGAACCTTGTAGCAGGCAAGGGTGCGCTACGAATGCGTTCTGAATTTGAATCAAGTTTGTTTTTTAATATGCTGTATTTTATACACCACTATTTAGGCCTACATCGCGCTGAGTTAATGCCGCGTGGTTAGTTAAAGCTGAGTATAGAAACAAAAAGTATCCAATCAGAGACAGCTTTTTTGGCTTTGTTGGCAGTAAATATGTACTCGACACACGCTCTTTTGATGTTTACGGTAGCCCGTATTCGTGGTCAATTGTAACTTCTTTATATTGCACAATTTTATGTCGTTAAAAATGTATATAAAAAATACTTTAGATGTACAAATATGAGAAATAAGTTTGTGTTTTAGATTTTGTAATAAAAATACTCCACGTTGTTGAAAAACCAATCAAAAGTGGGCTTGGAATATAAAATTTTTAATAAAAATAGCGAAACGAAATAACATACGCATGCAGATTAAACTTCAGTCTGATTTTTTTTTATTATTCCACGATCACTTCTCACTTTTTTAGAGAGCACACGGGCACTTCGATTTTCAAATTTAAAAAATTGTATCCGTTTTAAAATTGGAACGCAATACCTGTTTGTTGTTTATTTTGAAATGTGTAGAATAAAAATTTATATTAATTAATAATTTTGGCTTGGATACAAATCCTTTGAGCCATGTCCTCGTTTAATTATGTTTCTGTAAATATGGCCGCCACAAACAGGATAGGCAATTTGAGGCAGCGTGCCGCCGATACGGGTATTTTAGTTCGAGATTCGTATAATTTCGCGTTTTAATCTTCCATTAAGGCACAATAGCACTATCCTATTCCACTTTAAACTAGATTTCACAAAATAATTGAAAGTCAAAATAAAAACGACACTTCCCTCCAAAAGGCCCAGAGCGAATCATAAAAATTTATGTCTATAATCAAATAAAAAACTAGTTTCATATTTGTTTGTCAGTCTTCATATTCAAAATTTAACTTAATATTATTAATTTGTATTGTTTCGTGAAATAGGAGCCATTGTAATTATCTTTGCTTCTCTTGATGATTATGAGTTTCTTGTTCATTTGAGTATTAATTACAAAATAATATCGGTATTGTTATATATAGTAGTCATATCTAGGTATATGTAATATATAGAAATAGTAATCAGTCGAGAGAAGACTGAATACCTGCACATGAAGCGGTATAAAGATCTCAATGCGAAGAGAAAATCCCTCCAAGTGAACGGTCCGACTTAAGGGCGTCGACAAATTTAAACACCTGGGATGCACTATTACCGACACAAACCAAAGCGAGGACGAAATCAGTATTCGCATAGTAAATGCGCTACGATGTACAACAGCCCTTCGCAAAGTGTTGGTGTCCAAGTTACTAAACAGGACTACTCAATGTATTGGTGTGAAACATGGGCACTAACACTGCAGGAAGAACATAAATTATTAGTGTCGGAACGGAAGACAGTTGGAAAGATTCTGGGACCAATGAAAGGAGAATTTGGGAAGTGGATGACCAGATTGAATAGAGAGATAGAAGAACTACTGTCTGAGTCGAACATAATCGGGAAAACAAAATCTCCCCGATTTCGCTGGCTTGAACGTGTGGAAAGAATGAAAGAAGATCGAGCTACCAAAAGAGCGTATTTGGGGCAACATACGGGTCATTGTCCAGTGGCCGTTCAAGATATCGCTGGAAGGATGACGTCGCCAAAGACCTAAGGGAACTGAATGTGTCCGATGATCGGAATTGGCACATGACCGACAGAAATGGCGTACTTTGGTGTCGGGAGCCAAGATTCACTTCCGCTCGCGGTAAGCCCTCGAACTACGTACGCACTATGATTGTATTTCAATTTTCAAATTTGATTGTTCCGGGAATCGAATCTAGGACTTTCACAAGAAGCGGTCACAGTGCTAACCGCTGATCTAGGTTGTCGTTTTTTTGTATTTAATGTATGTAACGTAACACACAACTACAAACCGCACTTACTTTCACTATTCTAAATTTATTGACGTAAGGTACAATCTTGCAACATAGATTCTTGACACGTATAAATTAAGGTTTGATGAACTGTACTTTTTTATTTTGTGGACTATATATACATCCAAAATAAAGAACTGAATTGCAAATCAACAAAATAATTGACTCAAAGTCTATTTAATTTGCTTAAACAAAATTAATATATAAAATTTATATATGAAATTAATATGACAACACAAAGCATAGCCTAATAAATCAGGGTTATTAGTAATATTTTTGGGTAAATTAATGATTTAACGCAATGTAGATAAAAACCAAGGTTATAAAAAAATAGCCAAATAAAAAATAAAAATAAATAAATAAAAAAGGGAGAGAAAAAATTACATTTTAATTAGTTTATTGTCAATTTTTTTTTAAAAGGGAATACTTAGACATCTCGAGGATGCATTTTATGCTAGTTGGACGAGAGTCCTCTTCAGGGAGTTGACCGTAGAGAGAGACTGTTAGCTTAGGACAGTAAAAATAACATAGTCTGTGATTACTTCCTTAACGGCACACTCTCACAGACTACTGTGTGATAATAAATTTTGTCGTATACGTCAAGTATGACACTTATGAGAGGATTACACATGGTGCCTTTAGCAGCGATGCAAATGCGCTATAGGCGATCGCATCGGTACAAACGCGCGACTGCATCTATGCAATCGCCTATAAATCCCAAGTGTATCTATTTCTGCCGCCAAGCAGTAATGTCAGCATGATTGTGTTCCGGTTTTGAAGGGTAAGGGTGCTGGTGAAATTACAGGCATATGGAACTTACGTATGTCTCAGGGTGACGGGCTCAGTGGTAGTGCTCCTCAGATCTTTGCAATTTAAAGCTCTGAGTGGCACTGTAACTGTTATGGACAGATGTACAGCTTACCATCGTACGACTTGTTCGTACCGTCATTTGATGTGATATTGTAGACAATAAATCATCATTAACTCGTTTATACCTCCCACTGCTGGGCACGGCTCTCCTATCTGGCGATAGTTTAGGCTATAACCGCCACATTGACTCAATGCAGGTTAGGGATTTCATAAGTTTTCAGAGTTGTGAACCTTCTTCGACATGTAAATTTCATAATCGATGTTTTTCTTCACCAAAAAAATCATGGTAAATTTCAAATTAAATTTCGCGCATCAATTTCGAAAATTCAAAGCTGCAAACCCGGTTTCGAACCCGCGACCCTCTTCTTAAGAGACGGTAGGTCAAACCACTGGGCTACCACCGCATTGTATTTCAAAATGTTATATTAGTAGACAATAAAACGTTTGAAAAATTTATGACACTTTATGTGAAAAAACTATATCTACAGATCTTTTATATTATTTAAATGGAACGTCAAAATACAAAATTAAAGAAATAACGCAATAAAACATTTCTAATAGACAGCTATCCCGCTTACTCACACGAGTTTGCATTATGGCCGAAAGAGACAGCGACATTGTTGTCAAATTATACCCGCGCTTCTAAAGACCATTAGTTTGACAGCTAAGGTCTATCATATTACAGTTTAAAAAGATACCGTTAAACATTTTTTCCCAGAACTTGGAGAACTTATATACGATTACTTTCTGAGATAAAAACAATTCTTTATCAGTATTTTAAAAAGAACGCTTTTATCTATCCCAGGAAATGAATAATCTATTTTAAAAATTACTTCTTAGATAAAAGCAAGTCTTATAAGAAAAACTTCTACTAAGCCAAAGTCACCACATTGCGGCGAGAACCGGGACTGAAATAAGAGCTAATCTCGAGTAAGGATGCTCGTTTTCGGATTGTAATGGATCATATGCCACTGAATCAATCCACGGATCGTCTCGTACGACCTTGAATCGATCTCATAAAAGTCGTTTCAAAATTTGTAACAAATAAAACACCTTTATTACATGATTTAATCATAGAAATAATGTCGACTCTGTCCTAGGGGATCCACATCGAGAGATCGAGATCTTTTCGTTTGAATATCTTCTTGGCATCTATTAAAAAATTGAGTGGCCGATGGATAGTATTACAATTTGCAAAATTGAACAAATTCGAACCAAAAACAAATGGAAACACCCTAATAAAAAACAATACAAAATACGATGGACACTATCGAATTTGCTTATCATGAGTGGATATAATCAACTTTGAATCTTGACAGGTTTTAAGTAGGGTAAAACACCTAAACTTGTATAAGCCAAAACGAAAATTTTAAAAAAAAATATTGAAAAAATTGTTTATTTTTATATACCAAGTACAAGTAGGTATCATAATTGACGAATGAACTGAGATATTAACTTGTATTTTCCATCAAAATATTGACATAATGGAAACGAGAACAGTCTTTTCGGGGCATATCTGTAAACATGTAGTCCTAAACAAAACTGCATTTAAGAAGCAAACTTTTCTCCATATGGAAAAAAAATCTAGTTGACAATAATATTTTAAGCTGACTAGCCGATCCATCAAAAGTTACGTTTACCCTACAATGTATTGAATATCTAGCCTAGTTCAAAACTCACATTTCTGCTATTTCACGGGTTCTCTTCCATGTTTCTGGATCACGACTACGTTACCTAGAATGTCTTGAACAAACTGGTTGTACATTTTCTTCCATTTCAAAAGATTAAATAAAAAAAACAATAAAACTTTCAAGCGTAATCTACTTACAAAAAGTTACAACCGCCATATTGAAAGTATAAAGTAAAACGCGCTGTGATTGGTTGAATAGGACAATATCGTTTTTGTTTCTAACCCAATCATGGACATTGTCAAGTTCGCGCCTTACTCTCGTTTTTCGGGGAATGTACAATGTCTCTGCAACTAACTGAAATTACCGCCTTGAAGCAATAGACGAAACAAACAAAATGACATTCATATTTAAAAAAAAGTAAATTTTGGACAGAGGTTTTACTTCTATACCCCTCTAATTGCTATATTAAAATGTAAATTTTTCTATTTGTTTTTCACAGATACGAATCCTTTACATCTCACTAAACTTTTCAACAATAATATCATAATATAACTTTCTGTCCAAAGCGTTGTCCATCTCTTTATTTTCCATTTCTGTACTTGACGAAATCATTAATAATTTGAAACTTTTATTTATAATATGAATAAGATTCAGACGATTCGACTCCCCTTAATTTTGAATCGATTCTCCTGAAAATCGCATTGCAATGAATCAATTCAAAAAAATATTGGGTCGCATACAATTGAATCGATCTTCATAAAAATTGAATCGAAATGTGCATCCCACACTCGATTCAAAGTGTATTTACTAATTTAGAATAATCAACACATCGCACCTTACGAGTGTAATATGGCCACTTCTGCAAAATGATAACTTTTCAGCAAAGAGGTTAAAATGGTTTTGCAAACGAAACTATATTAAAAATAATATTGGATGATTCCTGTGATAGTTCGGAAAATTCTAAAAAATATTATATGTAATATGTTCGTCCAGAGAAGTACTATCACTTACCTATTTCTAGCGCCAACTAGTAACGTGAGCATCACTGTGTTCCGGTTTAGAATGGTAAGGGTGCTGGTGAAATTACAGGCACATGGGACTTGTCTACTTATGTCTCAGGGAGACGGGCGCAGTGGTAATGCCCCTCAGATCTTTGCGATTTAAAGCTATGAGTGGTACTATAACTGTTATGGACGGTCGTGTCGCTTACCATCAGGCTCACGATTTGTTCGTACCATCCCAGTGTAGTATTTTCGCAAAAAACATGAAAATCGTGGTAATAAAAAGATGATATTCAGCAAAATATAACGTATTAACATTGACTTACAATTATATGGACGTCGGGTCCGCGCTAAAAAGTGTCAGAACTTATAGGGCGTTAAAATCGTATACAGAGCGTCATTCACGCTTTAGTCTTCGTTTGTTCGGCTGACAGCGAAGCAAGCAAAATTAGACAGTACTGCGATGACATTACAATTTAAATTCAACGTTTTAGCTTTTTCATATTCCTTTACATGTCACTACGTTTAAATAGGTTGACTTGGGACATTTTTTTCGTGGTTTTTGTATTAGATCCATCGTCCATTTATTTGTAAGTCAATGCCTATTAACAAATACTAAATTATAAATAAAACTGACGGCCTCTGTGGTCGAGTGGCGTGCACACCGGTTTACATGGTGTCGCCATCATTTTTAAGGTTCAGGGTTCGATCCCCGGCTAAGTCAGTGTAGAGAACTAACTTTTCTATATTGTCGCGCCTCTGGGTGTTTGTGGTACCACGTTGTTTCCGATTTCCACAACACAAGTACTTTAGCTTGGGATCAGAGCAACGTATGCAATGTTGTCCAATATTTATTTATTTAAATAAGTAATATTTTCGAAGTCATTAACCTGGTTGTGAATTAAATATCAAGTTAAAATAAGTTAGTTTGAACAGCGTTGGCTATCTTTCGGTCTAGACAGATCAAAAATACGTCCACTCCTTGACTTGACTTTCGTAGATTTAATATTTTTTTAATAACCATTTGAATACTATCTCGCCCAGTCAAAAGGCCATCAAGTTTGATGCTTTGGACCAATGAGCATTGCTTTGGACCGTTGAAGTTTTTAAAACCAAAACTAAAACTGTAAGCTGTAAAGATGAAATTTTAAAAGATAACCAGATATAGTTTATATGATTATAACTCTAATATTTTTTTAAATGTAAAATTATCAGCCAACGAAGGGGAAAAACTCATTCCTGGATCTGTGTCGTCAGAACCACAGAGACAAGTAGACCAGTACGATAAGAACGGTTTCAAAAAGGTGTCATTCATCTATTGCGTTCAGCGATACCGACGACATTGTTACACATGTCACGGCTTCATTACTCTATAAAGTCTGCGGATATTGTGGAGTACATACGGGTGAAAGCCAATGGTACCCTGAGGGTCGAGCAGCCGAGACCACACCTCAATGCGAATTACCGGCCGGTTACCGGCCGTCCACACGGACGGTTACCGGCCATCCACATTGCGTCACACGTCGCAGTCCATACGTGTAAATAAATATACATAGTGTTTTATTATATTATTTTCTTTTTTTAAATATTATTTAGGCGGTCACCGTCGCCTATGAACGCCTACTACACCAGGGTATTGCAAACTCTTTAGGACCCTTCTCAAACCCCTTTATGAACTACATGCTGTATTCCTGCGGAAAAACCTCGATAGGGATTTCATTCCACAGCCTAATTATACGTGGGAGGAAGCTCTTCGGAAACCGTACAGTACGAGATCGACTAGGTTCTGGAGTGCGAGCATGGACTCCCAGGAGGTGGCTAAGGTGCGATGACAGAATGTTTCTGTTGCCATCATGTCAAATAGTTCTTCGGAACATTGGCCATTGTACAGGTGATAGAAAAGACATAGGGAGGCAATGTCTCTCCTCGCAGACAGTGGTTCAATATCATATGTAAGCGCAGGATCGTCAACAGTTCTCATAACACGTCTTTGAACCGCGTCAAAGGGCCCAAGCTGGCATCCGAGAGCTCCCACCCAAAGGTGGCAGCTGTATTCCATGTGGGGATCGACTTGTGACTTATAAAGGAGCAGTCGTTCCTCCGAAGTGAAATATCGCTTATCAGTTGAGCATACTGAGCTTTTTGGACGCCAGCTTGCCTTTGCCATCTAAGTGACTACGAAACTGAACGTTACAAGAGATGTCCACACCGAGGATCGCCACGCTCTCCGAGATGTTTACTGGCTTGTTCTGGAACTGAAGGTCTGCAGCAAGAGTCTTTTTAGCGATAAACGCGCAAACTTGTGTCTTTGTCTTTAAATTCGAGTAAATTTACCGTCCCTAATCAGAAACTCTCTGCAGGGTTTTTTCTCGTTATATATGTTAGTCTATAAGGTATGTATTTATGGATCAATGTAACCTTATTACAAATAAATAAAGAAAAACAAATAATAATTTCGCGTTCGACCTTTATCTTGTCTAATGGTTCTGCCCTCAGTATCATAACTAACATAATCATATTTTTTGCGTAAGTGAGTTATTAATATGTCTGGGTTCAGCAAAATGAGATATACAACCATCTCCAATCGGATTTTTGATACCTTATTAACCGACTTCAAAAAAAGAGTTTGTTTTTTTGTGCTTTTTTTTGTATGCATGTTACGAGACAACTCCGGATTTCGGAACCGATTTTGATGATTCTTTTTTCGTTGGAACTGGGGTACCTCCATAGTGATCCCATTTAATTTTAAATAAAATCACCCACTAAGTGTGGCTGTTCACGCATGAAGACTCATTTTTTAGTAGCAGTTTTATTGTTAACCAAAATCAGCGTAATTGAATTGGCATCTCCGTGTAGTATAGAGACTAAGATGCTATATAATTTAGTGGATTCCGGACTTAAGAACAGACCAAAGTAATTATTTAAGTTTTGTAACCTTTTTGTTGTGTGTGTCATTATGAGGGTGAGGTGTTCATTTGAACAAAATCCTTTTCAAAAAGTAAAGATAAAAAAGCGTAATTGATTTTTTTAGATGACAATAAAACTTTGGATTCCAAAATCTTTAAAGTTACCGAAATGCAAACACGTCAGTAATAACAAGGGCATACACACTCATAACTCCGCACTAGGGACTCCTAGCACAAGTACATATTTACTTAAAAGGGGTTTCGTACCCTGAATTGTAAACTAGGCGTAAGTTAAAGTAAATAAACATTTTATTCATTTACTAAGGAAACCCTGTGTCGCGGGTGCCATGGATACACACAGAGACAACCACAAATTACACTCAAACTCACAAGAGAAATATATCGCACTGTTAATAAAATAGTGTATTCACAATCGAAGAAAAACGAATTACTCACTTTTCGTGAAAGATCATTAAAATGTATGTATGGGTTATAGTTTATAACAGACAGTTAAACAAATTTCTTCTTGCACAATATATTTAAAAATAAAATGGAAAAAATATTTCACATTTTTCAATAAGGACCATTTTGCCCAGAACTAGATCACAAAGTGTGCCTCATTGGGAGTTAAGTAGATATCTTTTAATTATTTCTTACAATATTTTAACGACGGTTTTATTGACGTGTAGAATGATATATATTGAATTTCACACATTTTAAGTTACAACACAACTAACATAGGGTCGTATTCTAGAACTCTATTCAATGCTCAAGTCAGGATTGCACTGGCAACACAAGCACTGGAAATACGACCCTAATGGCAGGGACTTGAGTATGATATCAAGTGCTTTAAACCATACTCAAATCCTAACTTGAGCATTGAGTAGAGCTCTAGAATACGACCCTAAGTATTATATCAAAATGTCTTTACTTTAAATTAATATTACCTCTTTAGTTCCAAAGCGACAGTATTGTCCAGTCACTTTGAAACTAAATCATGTATTAATGACACATCAATATAGCGAGATTTTAGAGAAAAATTTTTAATATAACGCAATTTTTGAGATAATACTATGTTGTGTGTACACAAACCTTGTTTATTTCTGCCGCCAAGTTCTAATGCTCTCATTACTGCGTTCCGGTTTGAAGGGTAAGGGTGCTGGTGAAATTACGGGCACATGGGACTTGTCAACTTATGTCTCAGGGTGACTTCAGATCTTTGCGATTTAAAGCGATTTAAATTTGAGTGGTACTGCAACTGTTATGGACAGTCGTGTAGCTTACTATAACTTGATATTATACAAAACATACAAATATTTCTCCAGAATGGTAACCGTTCGGCTACGGACGCAGTATAATGCCTAAGCACTCTCTTCTTGAAAATACCCAAGTTATACCGTTCAGGTTTTCCTGAGGATTAGATTTAGGCAGTAGACCCGCTGGTCTAATGGGGGTTGGAGATTAATCTCCAGTTTCAGGAGCTGTTAACCTTTTTCTACATACAAGTTTCATCATGATGATAACCATCATTATTAGTGAGAGATGTTGCTACTAAATATTAACAAAGAAAGGTTGTAGGAGACTATTCTGATTTACTGTTTGGTTTTTCGCTACATCGCAAAGCAATATAACTTGTCACGTCACAAGCCCGTAGTCGCACAAGACATCTAATTGTTAAGAAAAATACTTTCACTTCCGCTCTACGCGAAATGTTGACAGATTTGTTGTCAAAGCACGTTTATTCAACATGCGTTAGGAGGAAATTATCACGTCAGATCCGAACTCCTAGTAATTTGTCACAAACTTAAACCAACACTAGAGCGGCTAGAGCTACCAAACATTCCTGGCACAATAAAAACCTGTCACCACCGAAAACGTGTAAACAAAAATATATAAAAACCCGAAACCAATAAAGGGACGACCAGACACAAAACACCTGTGCATCAAACGGGGGTATTAAAAGAAAAACAAAATTACATTGACCTCTTCAAATCAAATGCAACATGTATCATACAATTGTCTATCACACAAACGATACACGTTCCACACGAATTTTACCCTTAATACGCTGCGTAAAAGGTATTAATACAGTTTTCGAGCCGCTAAAGCAGGTTGGTGAGATTTTCTGGTGTAGAAAAAAACGGACACCGAAAAAACCAAACGGGTTGTTAGAGAACAAAAAATCAGGGCAACATGCTACCTCTCTGGACTTTTTTTAACTTTTTAAAATTTGTTTTTAACGTCGTAATTTGTCAGTAGGTTGTCTTCTTGTTATCGTATCGACGGAGTACACGTTTTTTTATAATATTAAGTGACGGGACGAACCAGTGGTGGGCCTGGTGGTAAGCGACACGCCTGTCCGTAACAGTTGAAACACAACTCAGACCATTAAGAAATAGGCTGTACTTCTCTGAACAAACTCTTCCACAAAATCAATCGGAAAATAATCAGAAAAAATCTAAAATGAGTAAGAAAGAATGTTTGTGTAATAAAAACGACAATTCGCTCAATAAGTGCCTCCAAAGCAGAACGGTTATACTATGGGCGCTTGATGAGGAAGTTCCTGGTTCGATTCCCGATTTTGACCAATTTAGGAAACGAACATTTGTTTTAATAGCATGGTATTCAATGATTTTGTTTATGAAATTTCAGTACTAGTTTGTTATTATAATTATGAATAACAAAGATCAAATATTTTGAAAAATTTATTCGATCCGGTTGGATTGCAACCAGAACCCTCCGGTAATACGTAGCAGATGCGCTGTCAATTAAAATTAAATAAAAAATTAAAATTCTTTCGATCAACGAGTTCCATAATTTGCTAGTAATAGCAACAAGAAACGTGCATGTGAATTAATGTTAGTAGATTCATTTCTTTTACATTAATTTTCAAATCACCTTTCTCATGAAGCGTTGCCACATGGGAGAGGTAATCCTACCAGCCACAGTTTGCAGGATGCTGTTGGGACTGTCCCGCACTCCGCGCATCAGGGATGCTGTCTTTTTCCGGCAGATGGCAGCAAAACCATCCGTCTCATACTCTGCAAACATCCCCGATGCGCTGCAGAAACGAGGCAGTCCACAGCGGCTGTTTGGTGTAGTCAACCCATAGGCTTCCGGTGTAGAAACTTTGAGAGATAACTATAAAAAGCGTTATTTTTACTTCTTCTGTTCACCAAGAAAACCTACGGATCAACATATTTCTTCTTACCGCTAGAACCCTACGCTCTCTTTCAATGTCGGCATTGTCCTTAAGGTCGTCTGTAATGTAATGACCTAGATATTTGAAAGAAGTTACTCTTTTCATGTCGTTCAGGGTTACTTCTGGGAATTCTTTTTTAAGATTATTAACGGCGGCCGTAAAACTAAAGTGTTCACACTTTTTAATGTTATAGTGGAGACCATGAGAAGCAGCGTAGTCAGCACAGACCTTCAGCATCTCTTCGACCGACCTCGCTGTCGGGCGCAGCAGCACCATGTCGTCCGCGTAGCTGATGTTGTTAACACAAACATCATCCACGCGGCAACCGACACGCATGCCGCTGAGCCCAACAATGAGATCATTTACATATAGGTTGAATTAAGCCACGGAACGAACCAGTAGATCTTAAGAATTTTTCTTTGTGCTTCTTGCTGATATTTGTTTTTGAGGATTGCCTGAGGATCTGGTTCAAATCCAGCCATATCAAATGGTTCTGGTTTGTGTATTCTTAGTATTGCCCTCAAGACTATCGTTATTATATATCTATTGCTCTCTCTGTTTATTATGTGATTGCATTATCATGGTTGATTTACGGTATAATACTGATGTGGGGCAATAGTACCGAATCACCGTCTCTATTTGTGTTGCAAAAACTAATCAGAATTATAACAAACCTCAAAGAGACAGATGGTTGCCGAGCTCACTTCCAGAAGCACAAGTTAATCACGCATCTCTCAATATATATGAGATTTGTAAATTTGTTCGCAATAACCAGAATTTTTTTAAACGCCGTCAAGACATGCCATCAAAATTTTTTATTACGTCACAAAAATAGATTAATGCTTCCAATGTGAAGATTAACCCTACATTCCTCTAGCCCACATGTCATGGCTATAAAAATTTATAATCAGCTACCTGATGCGTTGAAAAACGAAACTAATTATAGAATATTAAAAAAAAAACTAAAAGAATTATTAATAAATAAATGCTATGAATTTTTAAATGGAACTCTTTAACAAAAAGTTTTTGCATTTGAAAACAGCGCTTACTCTCTTCCCTTCTATTTTGGTGTGCCCGAAAGGGTCCATGATGTGTGAACTTACTATTACATAACACCTTGTATACCATTGTGGAACGCAAATAAAGATATTGTAATGTAGAATACATTGTAGGTATAATTATTAATACAAAGATCGAACACTCAGAAAAACACTCAGAAAAAATTCCTTCGATC